AGAATAAAATAATAAAGAAGACTAAAAGAGACTTTAAAGTAAAACAATAAACCAAAAATAAAGAAAAGAGGCAATGGTTCTAATTCTAAAATACAATAAAATACTCAAGAAAAAGAAGAAGAGGTGATGGCTCAACTCAATATATCAAAAATAAATACTTAAAGAAGAAAGAAGAGGCGATGGCTCAACTTTAAATACGCAATAAAAATACAATAAAAGCTTTATTAAATACAATAAGAAGAAGATAAGCAATGGCTATACTTCCAAGAAAATAAACTATAAACAACAAGGAATTAAAAGTGGGAAGAAAACAGTCTATTCATTAAAAATAATCCATAAATAACAAGAAACTAAAAGTAGGTAAGAGAAGTCTAATTATTAAGACATTAAAAGAGAAGAAAGGACAGTCTAATTATTAAGACATTAAAAAGAAAGAAAGAAAGTCTAATTATTAAGACATTAAAAGAGAAGAAAGGAAAGTCTAATTATTAAGACATTAAAAGAAAAGAAAGGAAAGTCTGCTCTGCCTTGGGGAAAAAGGCAGGATTTTTATATCTTTTAGACTATTAGTAAACGACCCAGTTAACAATCTAGTTAACAACCCAGTTAACAACCCAGTTAACAACCTAGTTAACAACCTAGTTATGATCTAATTAACAACTTAGTTAATAACCCAGTTAACAACCCTTTTAACAACCCAGTTAACGATCCTTTTAACAATCCAGTTAACGTACCTGTTAACATATCTGTTAACATACCTGTTGACATATCTGTTAATGTACCAGTTAACGTACTTGTTAACGTACTTGTTAATATACCTAATATTATACTAAAATTAACACTATTTGTCAAAAATTTTACTATTAAACTAAAGCTAAAAATAAACATATAATAAATATAAATTATACTAATAAAATATACTAATAAAATCTTCTAAAATATGCTAATAAAATCTACTAATATAACAGAAATAAACAGAATTGCTAAAAGAAAAAAATATAAAATATATAATAAAATTTAAGAAAAAATATATAAAAAAAATGTTAATACTATAAAAATTTATCTATATTATACCATAATACAAAATTTTGCTCTTAAGTAATATTGAGAAAATAATAAAACAAAGCATTTATAACTTATAAAAAGGCTACTAAACAAGATAAAATACAAATAAACTAAGCTATAAAAAAAATTATTTTTACTATTTGTTAAAATACTTAGGGTTTTAGGATAAGAACAATAGGTTTATGAAGTTTATAATAGGTTGGTGAGTAAATACAAAAGCAAAGTTTCAAAAAATTAACCTTTTTAATTACTTTTAATTTATAATTAAGGCAAAAAGACAATAAAGACCTGTTTTTATAGCAATTCTACATATAGTAGCCAATTATTTTTAGAGTTCAAAAATTTTCTTTTATATTTTTTTATTATAAAAGTTATAAAATTTGTAAAAAATTTTGATTGGGCAATAATAAACAATATATTAAATAGTCACATGCTCAATTTTGATTGGCTATTCATTAACGCTCTATAATTAATATTATAATTTTTTATATATCTATTATATAATACATGGCAATGTTATACAAGAAGACAAACACTATAAGATAAATATTATAAGACAAACACTATAAAACAAACACTATGAGACAAAACCGCTCTGTGATTGGTTCTTTTTGTTTCTGTTACACAGATCTTAAGAGGTAGACAAGACTCTGAATAATTCTAATAGAGGTGATATTATTAAACTGGACATTTTTTTAGGCTATGTGATAATAAATTCTGAAATTAAAATTTTGTTTTTGACCAAAATTTAGCATCACATGGTCCAAAAAAAATGTCCAGTTTAATAATATAGACAAACAGAAATAAATTCATATGACTTTATATTTAATAATTTTCTCAACTAATTTAATGTGATGGCAATTTTATATTAGGGTCAGGATATGTTTTAAGTAGTTAAATATAAGCAAAATTTCCTTCCTAATATTTTTGTTTATCCTATCCAAGATAGGTTTAGATGGCAGTTTTTTGTATTTTTTGTATTTTTGGTTTTTTTTTTGGTTTGCTTCGCCGGCGATAATCAAAATTCTATAATTTGATTGGCTGCAATCACGTGAATTAACCAATAGGACTGTATGTTTTTATAATAAAACTTTAATAAAAAGTATAAAAATTTTTAGGTGTATCAAAAAAGTAAGTGCAGGATTATCAAAAATGTAAGTTTTGCCCCAAAAATAGATAAAGACATTATACAGATTATATAGAACTTGCGAATATATTATACTGCACTGAAAACCTATACCATGCTAAACTATCTAATTTAATAATTTTAATACCGTGCTCAACGGCACGGGTATTTGCTAGTTTAATTATGAACATAAGGTTGTCGTTCTTACGAAAATTCGTCTTGTAATAAATTTTAAATATATGATAACTCTCAATCATGATTGGTTGATTTTGGGGTTGAACCAAACACGCTGATATGAATTATCCGGGTACTATCTAAACGCACCCTAAAATTTTGGCCAATAAAATTGGAATGTCTGTAAAATGACATTTAAAAGCAAAAAAATGAGTGCATTATCGCATGACTATGGAATCGACATTAAATAACGTATTCATTATTGAGGACATTTCAAATGGTCTTGAACCATCCCCCGTTAGCTTGGTATATAATGATGATAAAGAACTTGAAGAATTAAATGTACATCAAAAGGTATTTTAAAGAATGTAAAAAATTAATATTTAACTATATAACACTGAATCAATATTTATCGTAGTACGTTGTACATTGCGTAATACCTTCACTTGGGAACGAAATTGTGACAAGTGAAGAGTTATCGTCATATTATGATGGTTGTGATTGTGCAGATAATTGTATATCGGAAAATTGTGGATGTAAATCAACTCATGGTTATAGTTTATTCAATAATATTATTTCAATCATACTGTCTTTTCTTTAACGTATTAACACCAATTCCTAAAATGTTATCAATAGGATACTTTTATACATCACAACTTTCAAATCAACGAGGTCTCAACTTAAATTTTCTCGTACCCACATCGATCTTCGAATGTAATTCATCATGTATATGCACTCCAACAGTATGTCCAAATCGTATAGTTCAACATGGAATCAATATTCCATTGCAGGTTTTCAAAACTAGGGATGGACGTGATTGGGGATTACGTACATTACAAAAGATATATAAAGGGCTGTTTGTTTGTGAGTATGCGGGTGAAATAATTAAGACCGAAGAGGCTAAACGAAGATGGGAAGAAATGAAGAATAATGCGATGGCTCGAAATTACGTGTTGTGCTTGAAAGAACATGTGTGAGTTGGCTTAATAAATATGCAGTATTTGTTTTTTTTTGGTTATAAACTATATTGAATGTCTTTTATTCATTTTAACAGACAGGATCGCATTCTTCGAACAGTAAGTGTTTAGATTATCCGAGTACATCATGTCTCCTGCTAAGTTTATTATTTGATAGAACATCGATCCAATTCATATTGGAAATGCTGGAAGATATATCAATCATTCGTGTGCACCAAACCTTCAGATTTATTTAGTTCGTATCAACTCTTTAATTCCTGTTGCAGCATTTTTTGCAGTAAGGGATATCGAAATAGGAGAAGAATTGACATTTGATTATTCCGGAGCCGATTGTCACAACGGACAGTTGGAAAGCGGGGCGATGATAGATGGTATTGAGGGTGAAAAGGGAATGAAAAAATGTTTATGCGGAAGTGAGATTTGTAAAGGCATGCTACCCTTTGATCAAAGTTTATAATTAGAATAAATGTATATATCGCACCCCACGATATGCTTATATATCGCCGGCCAATTAAAATGCATTTTGATTATCGTATGTTTACTTTTTTTTGTACAGTATTAACACTTTTGACCCAGGTCCGCTGTTTAAATCGTCCTTTCCGGTGCTTTATTCTTTGTTTGAATCGTCCTTTCCAATGGCTTTTTTGTCGTTGGAGTCGTCCTTCCGGTGCTTCTTTGCGAATACAGCTAAATATTGTTTTTTTTTTCCCACCGCTTTCAGTGCCGTTGTTAACTAACAATTTTCTTATTTCGTCGCTGTTGGTGTGTTGTTATCAGTGATTGAGCCGATAGTTTGCGGGTTGAAAATTGTAGAATTAGAGTTAGGCTGGGCTGTTGGTTAAGCATGTTAAGTTTAGGTGAGCTGAAAATAGGATAGCTTTTAGGGTTAAATGAAGACTACGTTAGGGTAAGGATGTCATTATAATTGCCGAGTCAAAGGTGCCGAAAATAAAGGAGTTAATATCCACAGAATACTTTGTGAGTAATTTTAGCCAAATAATGCAAACTGAAACGATGATATGCTTCAAGAAAATTATCAAGTGAAATTACGCCAGGTATCATCGTAACAGTAAAACGAGCAAGAAGTAGCATCAGCCGTTGGTAAATAGGAAATGGCATAATTAGGATACTGTACTTTATATGTGCCGAAAAGGGTTAGGTCGAGAAATTGTTTGTCTAAGAGTATTGTGTTAAAGAGGAAAAGTAATTGTTTCGTTGGTTCTTTAAATATCGATATCGATATGATTTGTGGTTTTTCTATTACGCTTATTAATTCGTGCGATTTGCCGTTAATTGATTTCTTCTCTTATCTTGAACGTGCACTTCGATTGGGTGTTGGATGGAATATAACTTCTGGCCAGTTCCGCCTCTTCGGTCTGATGACGTTTGTCAACATATATGAATTGCACTAGTGGTTCACTTCTATTGAAAGAATGTACCTCTCTAATTTATATCCGGATATACGTGTTAGCATTAATACAGTATATATACCCAGATTTAATTGTTTCAACTTTATAAATTCAATATTGACAAGAACTAATTAAGGCTACCCGGGCAATAACGATCTGATTAATAGGATTATATGAAACTGACGAAATTGATGAAACATAAGGTAAATGCGGGTATTTTGACGAATGTAGGTATTATGACGAATTAAACATATTACAAGAAAACTAGACTTTTTTCTAAGAAAATCAAACTTTACTCACTAAGTAA